GCTCTGTTTATAGCATTGCTCGAATATCATTTTGCAACTATATAAACTACATCTGTAGTGCAATTCTGGCAGGGAAAATTCTCCTGAAGAGGAAAAGATGTTCCAGAAAACAAAGTTTAACAAAAAATGTATATATATTTTATCATTACCCAGAAAGTGACTCTACCTTGAAGAAATTTCTCGAAGAAACAGCTGGAATGTCCCCTGATGAACGAGCCAAAAAGCTGGAGCAAAATAAGGTACTTGTGCAGTGTAAGCGAAAATGAAAATGGACACCAGGAGGCTGGTTAAGTGCTTTCTGTTCATATCGGATAAGAAAGTCGTTCCACCCTGCCTGTCCTTTGCACTATGTGGGTCTAACAGTAGGTGGGGCTTGAATCACACACGATAGGATCATCAAGCAAGTGCTGTAGATGCTCACTTTGTATGTGGATTGAATTTATTTATTTATTTATTTTCCCCAAAAGCTCAGTATTATGCAGGTCTAGCTTTTAATTAAAATACATTTTTAATTTGTTTTTTACTTTTATTGTCTTGATTTTACTGTTAGTTACAGTAAATATGCTATATTGTGATATAGCAAGCAAAGTCTGTAACTAGTTTTAGGTTGAAACATTTTTTCTTTGAGAATTTAAATAACACTATTCTACTTTGCAGGAAATTCAGACAGCTCATGATGAAGTTGCTGCAGAGGGACAGTGTCGTGTAAGAATCATATACTCACACATGAAGAGAATATTCCTGCTTAAAGGTTTAATACTGAATTATTTATTTATTATTATATTTTTTTATAACCCTTTTGGAAACAGCCGGAATCCGACAAAGTGAACTTCCACTTCATCACCTTTGTCACCGTAAATGATCAGGTTCATGAACTTGGTAGGTTGTCACTTGCATTACACTGTGCAACATACAATATTACTCACTTCCAACCAGTGAAATGTGGCTTGCTCAATACTGTTCAAAAATAATTTTCTACACTTGCTCTACAACTTACAGTATGTTCCCCTAACAATGACTTCACGATCAAAAATGAGAGAAGAAAGGCAATGTGCCCTAAGTAAATGCAGATTGGTACTTGAAATGATTATTTTACACTCGGTCACTGATGCGTCTCATTTTAATAATGCATCAATTATTGGATACTCGGGGTATCAGTCATTATTTGTGTAAAGTGAGGGATGTCTTTCTGCCTGATAAATGATGTCTAAGACTAAGAAACATTTTAATCTTTAATGATATGAATTAGGGCTGTCCTATTTGCTTCAGTTGTATTTGAATTACTTTAAATACACACATTTGAATATTACTTGGACTAATTTTATAAGAATGAGCATCAGCATTAGTGCTACACTATGCCTTTATATCCAATTAATCATGAAAGGTGAAAATAGTTTTTCTTAAAACAAATAAAACCATGAGGCAAATACCAAATCTTTATCAAAAGCTAACAGGAAAAAGACTCCAGTAAGGGCTTGTTGGAAATTGCTGAGTGCTTGAATGTGATATCACATTTGGGGCACATGCTTGCTTTGTATTGCTCTTCAAAATAAACGTGTAAATATTTTTTAAATGTAAAAATAAAGCATAGTATAAAGGACATGCATTTATTGGAAGCCATTTTCATACATTGACTAAAGAGGGCACATAGATTAAACTTTGCATGTAGCATATATTGATCTTAATTCTAAGCATTAGTTATGTATTCTATTAAAGTGTGTGTGTGTGTGTGTGTGTGTGTGCGTGCAGATGGCAGAATGAAAGGACCTGTGAACCATGGTGCAACGAATCCAGAAAGCTTTGTCATGGTAGTGTATCTTCTATTGAACTGAACCCATAATTTTGTGATTGATTGAATTATGGTATTACCAACTGAACAACGGAATGTTTCTCCTCTTGTAGGATGCAGCAAAGGTGTGTCGTGCGTTTATAGAGCGAGAGAAAGGGGAAATGCGATTCTCCGCTGTGGCACTCTGTAAGGCCTGAAGATGAGCGGTACCCTACTACTGACTGACCAAAAACTTCCCCCTCCCTTTCAGGCCGGAGCACATCACTCCTGCACAGTCCACACAAGCCGCCTGCTTATGAATCTCACACACTGTTCATTCTTTTCTCTATATCTGCCTTTCTTCATAACTGCCAGGCTTCTGTGCTGTTTGTACGTTATTTGTAGTCTTTGCACAAGTTGCCTAATTGACATGTACTTGTGATCGATTCAGTTCTAAATAAGTTGTCAGCTCGTCATCTTAATGCCGATTGGCTCAGATTTCGGATGTACACACCACCAGGGAATTTGTGTGTGATCTGGTGTAGAGTGCTATGCTAATCTAGCTGTAAGTAAAGAATGGGTGACATGGGGGTTTCAGTGATGCTGTTCAGCACAAATGTTTCCCATTGTTGCTAATACGGGGACTCTCTTCTATTGTTGTGATTACTGCTAATGTAGTTAAATAAATAAATGCAAAGAAACAATTCACTGGGTGTTTATGTAATTTTTAAATGACAAATGTGCACGTTTTGCTCATTCTCAAGACGAGAGTTGTCAACCTAAAGCAGCATGATCCAGATGGCCATCGGTCAGTTTTAAAAAAAAAATAAATCATCTGCAAAACACAACCACCCCCCACTGTGGACTTATTATACTGACATACAAAAATAGTGGAAGGAACAGGATTTTGTGTTTTAATGGGTTTACATTCGGTGCAGCAGGTAGTGTTGCTGCCTCACAGTTCCAGTTTGATCCTGAGCTCAGGGTTCTGTCTTTGGGGAGTTCAGCATGTTCGTGTCTACGTGGGGTTTTCTCTGGGTTCTCTGGTTTCCTCCCTAATCCAGAACACATGCCGGTCGATGGGTTGGTGTCTCTAAATTGCCCCTAGGTGTCAATGTGTGTGTGCAGTGTCCTGGGATCGACTGTTGTCACATCCAGAATGTATTCCTACCTCGCCCAGGATCTCCTCTGGATCAACTGTGACTCTGACCAGGGTCAAGCAGTTACCGAAGACAACTTTATTTTTATTTTTTAATAAAGGTAACTTGCAGTAGAATGCCCTGCGAAACTAGATAGAAGTGAATTTAACAGGAAAACTCAATAGAGGAAAAAAACCCCTAAAATTGCAGAAATGCTGGTTTATGTTCACTAGAACTTGGTGCTTCAGTCATTTAGCATCATGCTTAATGAAATATTTGACAGATTAAACTGTGGCCTATTTGAAATTATACTACAGTGCTGATGAATTCTTGAATTTGAAGTTAAAGAAGAATTTTAGAGCTGCCTTAATAAGGAAAAAGGGTAAAGCTGGGGGGTGAAACTAATTTCCAGACTAGAAAAAAAGTTTGCAGGACTATAGTCATAAAACTATCCCCATTATGTGCAATATTACAAACTGAATTTTCTTCTATAGCATCTTTATTTATAAATTATAGCATTAGTACAGATCTAGAAACACTAAAACATCCCAAACTGCACCTTTAATAACTTGAGACCATTTGAGGAAAGTATGAAGTGTTATTGTTGGTCAAAATCTTTTATAAGTTAGCTCTACTAACCCTTCAGCTGTAGTATAAAGCTAAACTTGCTGAATAATTTGAATGCATTTGTCAGAAATGTGAATGATTTTGTGATGTGTGTGTTTTTTTTTTTTTTGTGCAGTTCAATGCTATAATAATTGCAATAAAGGCATTAAGATAGGTATTGATATTGGAGGTAAATCATGCAAGCTACAGTTGATACAGTATCCTGTGATCAGTGTTGTGTTGTTATTACAAATCCTAAAAACTACGCAGCATTTTCTAAACCAAGGATCCACACAGGAGCGCGCGAGCGGAGGGCCGAATCCCAAATACATTCCCACCATCTACAGAAGTGCACTGCGTAGGGTGTGAAATAGTGGCTTGTACACCCTATGTAGTGCACGACACGTGCAATGGGGATGCATTTGGTAGCAAGAGAGAGAGAGAGGGAGAGAGAGAGAGGGAGCGATAACGGAACTCCTCCATTGTTTTCGTGCACATTCTTGTCCTCACAGCGGGGCGCTCCGTCCGCCTCTCGCATTGGCTGAGCGCAGAGCTGAGCTCCGAGCGCCTGCGTCTCTGCCTTGTATTTTTAGGTCGGACTGCGCTGAGCAGTGCGCTGGTGCTCGGGGTGGAAACTGCAGCACCTCGTCCCTGTTCATCGTCAGCATCCAAGCTACGGATTGGACGCATCAGACGCAGCAGTGCAGTGCAGAATCGGGACTTTCTCTGGAAATGGCCAGTGCTGAAGAGAGCTCCAGCTCCCGGCCGGATCACCACGAAGCCACCGAGTGCAGCTCCGGAGCAGCTTTTCAGGAGGCGCAGAAATGGATAGAGGTTAGTCAGGCGTCACATCTGTCGCGCGCGCACTGTTCCTGCAGCGCACTTCAGCTTTATTTCGCGTGTGGAATTTTGTCATAAGCGCGGCGTTGGATCAGTGGCATGAATGCTTACGGGCTATAAATATTATACCGTCACCTGTTGTGTGTGTGTGTGTGTGTGTACGTGTGTATGTGTGTGTGGTAGATGGCCTGCCAGTGCCACTGCCAGTGAGCGCGTGTGTCGGGTTACGACAGGCGCAAACAACGCGGCCGTCACGTGCGATGGATTCGCGCGGAAAGTAAACCACCTGAGTTCCTCTGGGAATTTCACGCGCGTGACGTATTTAGTCAATAATAATAATAATAATAATAATAATAATAATAAACTGTTCCATTATCTTGATGTCAATTTTAAGGTCAAATACAAACATCCAGATTTGTCGCTCCAAAAAAAAAAAAAAAAAAAAAAAAACCGACATATTTAGAACAATAAATTGCTTAATATGTCATTTTTAATGCACAGCAGTGGAACTGGATGGGGTCTTCTGCTGTTGTATCCCGTCCTCCTCAAGGTTTGGCGTATTGTACGTCCTGAGATGCTTTTCAGCTCACCACGGCTGCAAAGAGTGATTATGAGTATATGAGTGGTAAAGGGGGCCCAGGTGGGGGGGCGTCTGTGGTGTAGTGGTTAGCACACTTGCCTGGCACCTCAATGGTTGGGGGTTCAATTCCCACCTCTGCCATGCATGCCTCCCAGACTTTCCCCAGCCCAAAGACATGCATTTTAGGCTGACTGGCATTTCTGAATTGTCTATAGTGTGTGAATGTGTGTGATTGTGCCCTGCGATGGGCTGGCACCCCACCCTGTGCCCCAGGCTCCCCGCGACCCAAAGTAGGATAAGCGGCACAGAAAATAGATGGAAGTGGATTTAAGTAGCCAACTGCTTATACACTCACTTATGTTTTTTTCACGAGTAGATTTATTCAAACATGTCGAAATACAGTATATTATTACATTTAAAAGCATTTTGTTCACCCTTATCATTAGCTACGCTAATTAGTTGCTTAGCAAACAGGTTCTGTGTTTATGATACACCGTTTTCCCTTTTGTCTATTAACTGGATAGTTTACTTACTGTACAGCTGAAAACTGTCCTTTAAGACCTTATGCATGGACTTCACATGGCATCCTGGACATGCAGAATGTCATTTTACAGTAGGCAGATGACACATGAGAATTATAGAGTCAAGTAGACACCTGTAAAACAGGTCGGCTCCAGGTTCCTGGTTCCTGGCAGCCTAATATACTAGGCTATAAATTGATAACAAACATGATGTAATAATGTATGACAAGCTACTTATCTAGTTAATGCCTTAATCGTAGTGCGAAGTGTCGGAAGTTACAGTGACGAAATGCCTCGCAGCACTGTTATTAGTTATTAAACATAACTACATACCAAATGAAACCTTTTGTTTTGCTAAAGTCAATAACGAGTAGGGTTTTTTTTGTTTGTTTGTTTGTTAAGCATACTTATCTGTTCGTAGCTGCCAATTAAAACAAAACATGAATAGCCCAGACATGAAATCTGCTTGCTCTGGGTTTCTAATATATCCACCTCTGAAATCCAGATTCATAATAAAGCATTATATAATTTACCTGCCACTATCTACACTAGTCACTAACACCGAAGTCATAAAGACCTAAATGCACGTTTATGTAACTGTGATGCATTATTAATAACAGACATTGAAACAGAAAATTGAAGTTGTAATAAAGGTCTAAAAAAGGGATTGTCCTCTCCTTCACCAAGTGATTCATGTTGTCATGCTAACACCTATTCACAGTGCTGCAAGTGCTCTACAATTTCCTATTCCACTTCCTGTTCACTCAGATGTGTCAGTGTGCTCTATTTATAGTTTCTGATTGAAAGTTTCTCTCTTTTCTTATCTCAGGGGTAGGAGAAGTTCAAGATGTAGGCCTCGATATTAATACTCTGACCTGTTTTCGGTGAAGCTGTAGATCGGCTACATCTGAACTACATACTACTGTAGTAAATAGTACACTATATGTAGCTCGCCACCTATTTTATTACTCCTATTCTACTTAGTGTGGTAGCATGCATGGTAGAACAGCATGTCTGTCAGGCTACCGAGCAGAAAGTAGAACAAATCAATTTCCATCCCAGTTTTTATTGGTCTTTCTCCCTGAAACCCTGACCCTAATTCTTTCGTTTATTAGTATGGCTTCTGCTACCTCTTTTCTCCCTCTCTCTCTCTCTCTCTCTCTCTCTCTCTCTCTCTCTCGTTCAGTGTGTTCACTCTATCTGTGCATGTTTGTGTGAGGTATTTTTTTGCTGGTCCCCCAACGTTTACACACATCTGTTTTATAGAAAAGTCTTTTTTTTTTCCTGTAAATGGATAAAGGAACAATTTAGCCATAAAAAAGAAGAATGTAGTCGATCAGCCAAGAGAACTCTGGTGCTTCTTTAGCTTTGCAGTGGAGCTACAATGTTAATGTTACTAACAAATCATGGGAGTCTGTCACCCAAAAACTATTTCTTCAAGTTTGGGATTAGGATTATACTTAGGGTTAGGTTTAGGTTTAGGAGTAACATAGCATTAATTAGCTGTGCTAATAATTATATCAATGGAAGTTCCTCATAAGTATAATAAGATGCGTGTGAGTGTGTGTGTGTGTGTGTGTGTGTGACTGCATCTGTGAAGGTATGTCAGTGGTAAATGCAGAAGCAGCTGTGATGGGGAGTGCTTCATAAATAGCCAGGCTGAAATAGCCCAGCACACACACACACACACACACACACACACACACACACACACACACACACATTGGGGTGATTTCCTCACAGCGGATAGAATGTAGATTTTGGATAGACATGAAATTTTTTGAGGTGGTTATGTCTCTGCAGGGATCATGTGTTTCTTATCCAATGCAGGAAGTGGAATTATGGGTAACCGAATCCGGTCGACCTCATTAGATCCTCACAGGTGTATGAGAAATGGGTCGGGTGTGACATTGTCCAGATATTTTGACATGAAAATGCTCCGAGCAGCTGCCCTTGTCTGAAATGAACAGTCACAACCTATCATGTTTCGGCTCCTCTGCGTTGGCTTATCACGTTACAGGAGCCCTGAGGTTCTTCTCCTTCAGCCTATCAGGTTTCAGAGTGTTTCTAACCTGTTCTTTATATAATTCATAGTGTTCGATACTCAGAGAAGTCGGGTTAGAGATGAAGCACGGGATGCAGGAGGTAAAACATTTCGATCAAGCATCAGCCTGCACTATAGGGTTGTAAAGCGTGATGTTTGAGTGTGTTTGTCAAGGGCGAGAGAGAGATCAGTGCAGATGCCGTAATCTTTCTAAGATATGACATATAGCTTCTGACTATCTCTCTCCTTCACACACACACACACACACACACACACACACACACACACACAGATTAAAGGGCACAGCTGTTGGGATGGGAAATGCTAGAAAGAGGCAGCACATTGCTGACACGGGGTTGCAGACCCATATGTTCTAGTCCTTCAGTCATCAGCAGGAAAACATCCTTTAATAATACTAAGGGTCAGTCACTCACTATACTAAAAGTTAGATCAGTTCACAGGCAGCTACAATAAAAGTAAAAATGAATATGCATGAGACAAGAGGAGGTCCCTTTTCCTATTTCAGCGGCTGAATAGTGGTACAAGAAAGAATACTTCCATTTTTCAATCTAATCTAATCTCTGGTTACTATACTGTATGTGTGATTACCATTGACACGAATTTAAAACTGTGCATAAAACAGATTTATAAAGAAAGTCTAAGGGCAGTTGTTAGGACCGACAGTAAAGCTTAAAATGCAAAACCTATTTTTCAGCATAATTCATTCTTTGGGCAATGTGATTACTTTTTTAGAGGGAAGAATTTGTTTTGTTGTGTTGTGTTGTGTTGGTCAGATGCCACAAAACCTATTAAAATTCATAACCAGTTTAACATTTTACTCTGTTGTTCCACAGTTGGATAATTGGATAACATAAGATGACATAAGAACATAAGAACAGACTTAGTAAGACTTTCTCTCATGTCAGTCTCATCTTCATCAACATTTAATATTAGAGTGTTACAGTTGAGGTTTTAAGGCTGTGTCATATAGTGTCACGTTTGAAACTTAATTTAGTCACAGTGTAAGTCGTAACGAGGATGAACTGTTTTTAGAAGTCATATAAAACCCTTGTTTTTGACTGTTTTGATTGGTATTATAGCCTTAATCAGGTAAAATGTCACGGCATCAGTGATTCAGTGGTTTTTCTCAGTAGTAGTGCCTTTTTCACATGCTTTTGTTCACTTCAGCTATAAGTGCTGTTCACGTGCACTTCCCGTGGCTTTCTCCGGCACACTCTTTGGGGCGCTTTCTTGCTTGTTAAACAGGTTCATCCAGGTTCATCCTGTTTCCTCAACGTGCCAGTCTTGCCTTTGCATATTTTGCAAACAACCGTTGTTTGCTCCATGTCCATTGTGTAAAATCCAGCAGTTCCATACGAACCATGCTGATTTTTCTTTTTAGGCACCAACTCCTCCGTGTCATCAGCATGCTGCTGTGTTACCAAGTAAAACGTAGGAAATGCAAACTAAGGAACCGCCTACTCTTTGCAAACTGTTATTGGTTTGTTCGTTTGCGAGCTGGACTTGCGAATGAAGTAAAATCTAGCTCATAAAACAACATGGATGCTATGTCTGAGTTATATCTGAACTAAAAAAATGTGTTTCGTATCACAGTGCATGTGCTCCGTCTGTAAAAACAGATCACGGAGACATTTTAATCATCATAAAGCCCACCCCTATGTTGAGCAATGTATTATATACATTGCAAGCTTTTATGGATGGCAATTTTCATGCCATGTTCATACCAGAAATTATAGGCAGAAAAGTTGTAACCTTTTCATTCAAAAAAACACTAAGCTGTCATCTCTCATTGTGTGTAATTTATACGTTGAATGGACAACCTGTGCTTAGTCTATCTACTTTCAGTTTTTCCTCCAAAGACTTTGATTTGTAGGGAAAAAAGCCTGGTAGAAAAAATAATCCACCTCGTTCGTCTTCATTACACCCACGACTCAGTCATTGCTGATAACGTGTTACGGATGTGTCTAAAAATATCAGCCCAAATGGCGATCAAATCTAGGGGGCGTGGCCATCTGTGTAATCACCTGACACGACTGTCACTGATAGGCTGCATGAATCTACAGTCTGGGCTAGAAAGAAATCAGCCCCAGCCTTGCTTCTTCATACCATTCTGTGTTTGTTTTTGTTTTTTTATTTCTGCCTTGGTTACAAAAAAAGTCCAAATTAAAACTTAAATTAAAGTCCTTTTCTTTTTGAAGAAAGGTGTCTTCAGCCCTGATTGCACATTTACACCAGTCTCTGACTGTAGGTCACTTTGGGTAAAAGCACCTACCACATGAATAAATGTAAATATCATGTAAATCACGTTTAGCACACGCCCCTCCGTTTGACCTCGCTTTGATAAACCTTTAGACCAAAGCTCTTATGTGGGTCAAGCAACTCCAATGAAATACACTTGATTCATTGGTGTAGAATTTCCAAAATAATCTGGGCGTAAAAGTTTGCGTTAAAAGTTTGCATTGCACAAAAAGGTTTTTACTGCATAAATAAATATATAAAAAGTTCAAAGACAAGTTTTTAGAAGTATTTTGGTGTTTTGATGCATGGACCGGTCT